ACACACACACACACACACACACACACATATATATGAAATTATATGCTTGAAAAAATAGGTCTCAAATCCACCCCTTCTCTCTGTTCCCACTGCTAACTTCTTGGTTCAGGGTCCCATCTTTCACTGAGACCAGCCTCCTAACAGGCCCAGTCTTGCCTCCTTTTAATACATTCTCCACATTGAAGCCAGAGTGGCCTCTCCCAGACCATCCTGCTCCTCTCCCCCCAAGTGGTCCTCTGAAGCTCCCAGCATCAAGTTCAAACTGCAAAAGATGGCCTGCGTAGGCCCTCCATGGCTGGCCCCTCACTCCGCAGCCCAGCCACAGGGCATTTCTGCCCCTTCCTCTGTGGGTCTGGTCTCCTTGTTCCCGGGGCCTCTCCTTTCCCCCGCCATACCCTCTCCTGGCTAACTCTGATCTATCTTTCAGGTCTCGGGGTAAACACCTCTTGCTCTTGTTTGTCTTCCTTAACCCCTCCTGTCTAGGCTGGGTGCCCCCACACTGCTTTCACAGCACCCCATCATCAAATGCCTGTTTAACCACTTTTGTGCCCCATTCGACAGAAAGCCCAAATGAGTCGGGATGGCATCTGCCATGTTCATTTTTGTATCTCCAACAGCTGGCTCAGGTTTACAGACAGTAATACTTTGTAAATCATACTTAAATGAATCAGTGAGGTTTGCTGACTTCCGTGCTAAGAGCTCTCAGCTTCCTACTCTGCTTTTATCCATAGAGTTGTCCCAGGTGAGTAGTGAGATAGTGAGACCGAGGGCTGGGGGTGCATTCTGCATGCCCCCCCACCCCCGACAAAGCAGGGAAATGATACTAGGAAGGCATTCTACAAGATCTTAAATAGGAGAGTTTCAAAGCTGAGACAAAGTTCAGGCTTTCCCCTCTATCACATAGAGAGTAGGCAAGCAACTCCACACGTAAGATGCTTCTGAAAATATACTGGTCTGTTTGACCCAACTAAGCTGACCCACTTTTCCTGCCCTTCTTTCTGCCCTTTCCTGGTCATCACACAAATGTCCTCAGAGCATAGGTGTCTCATAAGAACCTCTGGAAAGTTCACTCTTTTGGTCTGCTCTGAATTGAGATCACAGGCAGCTTGGATTTGGAATTTTCTCTAAGAACTCTTAGAAGGCTCTAAGCTCTGGCTATGTCTGAGTAACCCCAAAGGGCCCTCCACACTTGGGTGGGTTCCAGCCCAGATCATTCTTCTCTTCCTGTCCTTGCAGCCAGGCCAACTTGGGCCTGAGAGAGGACAGCATTCTGGGTAAATTGTTTGCTGGTAGTGAGGGGGTTGTGTGCCCCCACCCACCTGATCCAGCCCTCCCTTCAGGCAAGGTCAGTATCAGCAAATAGCCAGCTGCATTTTCCTCCCGGGAATGCTAAAGAGATCGAATTAGTGAAAATCTATCTTATTAACAGCCTGACCTACCAGCATTGATCACACTAGAAGTCACCCCCCACTCCTCCGCACACACAGTCCCCATCATGCGCACAGGGCAAAGCTTCAGTGGAGCTCTAAAAGCCATTTAAATCTGTTCAGGGGTGACTCCTTCTCCAAGGGCTCAAAACATCCCCCAAACTAATAACCCCTGACAAAGCACCACCAGGGAAAATTCCTTGCGGATTTGAGATTTTTCACTCTTAATCTCCTAACTCAATAAAGCAAACACTCCTGCAGCAAATTAAATACTTTTATTAAAGGGTCCCCTCCATTCCCTTTGATGTGGGTGTAGGCCTGCAACCCTCCCAGGGCCTGAGTGTCTGTGTGAGGGGTTGTCCACCCCCCACACCACCATCATTTTCTCCTATTACCCCAAGGAGGCCAGAACCCACTAGGATTTGCAGATTCTTGGATTCTGGAAACTTCTAAGATCTCTGGCTTCCGGGAGTAGATCTCACAGCCTGTCAGCTGAGGGAAATGCTTCCCATTCTTTTGTGGGGGTGTGGCCTGGCCCCAAGCACCTCTACTGTTGCAGTTTGCCTGAAGGAGTCTCCAGCACAGCTGTCCAGGCCAAGGTAGACTTGTTGGCCAATGGTCAAGCCCTTCCTCTGACCTTTCTACAGGCTTGTTGGTCAAACCTCCAACAGTGAGCTGGAAACCTGATGCTGTTAGCTGGACAAAAGATTAAAGGAGGCTAAGTAGAGAAAGGGGACTCGAGGTAGGGAGGCCTGAGCTCCTCTCCTCCCACTGTTTCCTGCCCCCAAGTTGGCCTCCAAGCTGCTTCTCCCTCACATCTGTCTGGAATTGGGTTCAGCAATTTTAACTTCTAGTCATCTTTTTTTTTTTTTAAAGATTTTATTTATTTGTCAGAGAGAGAGAGGAAGAGAGAGAGAGAGCACAAGCAGGGGGAGCGGCAGGCAGAGGGAGAAGCAGGCTCCCCGCTGAGCAGGGAGCCCGATGCAGGGCTCAGTCCCAGGACCCTGGGATCATGACCTGAGCTGAAGGCAGACGCTTACCCAACTGAGCCATCCAGGCGTCCCTAGCCATCACTTTCCTCTCACTATTGGTTTGAGGTCTACTCAGGACCCTTTCAGGGTCACCTCAGAAGCTGCCTACCTTGCAGGGAAACCTACCAGCTTGCAGATGGTAACTGTCAGATCAGACCCTTTTCTATTTCAGGAGGAGCCTCCTTCTAGAAATATTATCTCGTACAGTTTATCAGTTTCATTACAGGGTCGAGAGTGCATAAGGCTCAATGGATCCATTCTGAGAGAGACCAGAAACAATATTTTGTCTGTGGTGACAGACAATCAGGTCTCTGAGGGCCCTGAGGCATTCTTAGCAAGGGCTCTGCAGGCATGCGTGATAGGCCCTCACAGAAGGTCTGGTCCTGGCATTTGTTGCCAGGGGTTCTGGATGCAGCACTTGCCCAGTGGAGAGAACACTCTCTTCTTACTGGGTCTCTGAGAAGGCCCTTCTCAACGTTCCTTCTATTTCCCTACCTTGGACAAGAAAGGGAGGGGAAGCACCAGCTCCTCAGAGGCACTAAGCCACCATAACCCAGACTGGGCTCTATTTAAAATGTCCTACCCTCTCTTCTCAGCCCTGAATAGATGCCCTGGTCTCTGTGGCTGTCTCTATTTCTCATCCCAGTGGAATTGCCTCCAGACTCTATTTCCATGGAAACCCAAACTGAGTCCCTGGAAGTTTGAGGAAGGGGAGGGAGGTAGCTGAGAAAACAGAGAAAGCACGACAAAGTGCATAAGCCCTCAAGCTAGGGTCAGACAGGCCTGGGCTAGAACCCAGACTCAGCAGCCTGCACACTCTGACCCTTGCAAGCTATTTCCCCCTCTAAACCTCAGTATCCTCATCTATAAAATGGGGATAGTAATAGCTCCCACCTCCTCAGGGTCATTGTGCAGCTTGTGTGAGATAAGCCTGTAAATTATTTAGCATATAGTAAGGGCTCACTGAATGGCTGGTAAATAGAGGCTCAAGGGCTTCCATACAGGGATTAGGGCAGGCCAGGAGGCTAGAATTCATTCTTTCCCGGAGGCCTGCAGGGGTTTGGTAGTCCACCCAGGGACCTTTCTTCCAGGAGAGATTAGAAAGGGGAGGCTTGGGGATGTCCAAACCTGCTCTTCCTCGCTCTACAGAGTAACTGCCCAGAGGAGTGAGGTTGGTGAGTGAGGGAGGAGCCCAGGCCATGGGTGGAGCAGCTGCAAGGATCTGGGCATCCTGGTGGCCCCCCAGGCAGAGCCAGTCCTGGACACAGGTAGCAGTTAGTCCAGGTATTCTCAACTGGGGCAACAGCAGCCCCAAAGGGGTCTTGGAGGTGCAAAAAGTTTTAGATATTACCATGGTTTATGGCATCCCAAAGTTCAAGCCAACCTGACAGAACCATGTTCCTTAGTATTTAATTCCTCTCATTAGAAATAAATTAAATCAGGGCGCCTAGGTGGCTCAGTTGGTTGGGCGACTGCCTTCGGCTCAGGTCATGATCCTGGAGTCCCAGGATTGAGTCCCGCATTGGGCTCCCTGCTCAGCAGGGAGTCTGCTTCTCCCTCTGACCCTCTTCCCTCTCGTGCTCTCTATCTCTCACTCTCTCTCTCTCAAATAAATAAATAAAATCTTAAAAAAAAAGAAATAAATTAAATCAAATACTAGTTTATATAAAGTTAATTTAAATTAAAATTTCTTGGGGGTGGGGGCACACTTAAAAAAAAGAAACAGGTTGAGAAACACTGGTATAGCCCACTTTTTGGACTTTCTCAACCACCTCCCCTCCTCTCTCACCAGCCCTTCTTGCTGCCTCCTACCACAGCCTACTTTTTCCTTAGACTCTTGGCAGCATTTGGTGTTGCTGTCCAGTCCAGTTCAGTTAGAAGGCCACCCTGTCCCAGGCACTGAGTATGGCCAGCACTACTCCATACTCCAATCCTCCCTTGGCTCCATGTCTTTACCACATGGTTCCCCAACAGCCTTCTGACTCTTCTCCTTCTACTGCCCCTGTATACACAGTTCCTCTGTCCCCCACCATACACCTCCAGAGCTCCACTCTGCTTGTCCCACCCCAAACTCTGCTGAGTCTCTTTTTTTCAGAGGCCCACTGGACCACTCCACCTGGATTTTTCATGACATACATTTTCCTTCCTCCAGGAAGCCCTCCCTGACTACCCTAGCCCCCTTGGTGCTTTTCCTTCTCGTATGGCATTTAGTTTGAACCATTTGACAAGAAAGTATATATGTCCTTGTATTATTCTCTCATGGCCTCATAGGTATCTGTACTACCTTCCCACCTGGATTTTAATTTGAGAATAAAGACAAAGTGGTAAATGTCTGTTTGCTCCTTAGTGTCCAGCCCAGTTCTGGACACCAAGGAAGGCAGATGTGGAGGTCTTTAGGGGCCAGGGAGTGTCCCAGCAGAACACAATGTGCAAGATGCCACTGGTCAATGGTCCTTCCCACCGGGAGAGTCAGCTCAGCCTGGGCCCCAGGCAGACTGCAGTGGGAAGCCACCTTCTCCCTTCCCCTGGGACTCTGCCTCACCTGGCTGACTCCTTCCACTCCATCTGGTCTCCGTCGTGCTGCAGGGTGTCCATCTCTGTGAAGAGGGTGGGGTTGGGAGCCTCATCTTCCTCCCCCAGGATGTCCTGGAGCTGCTCAGCAGCTGGAGACCCTGCGAAAAGAGGGCAGCAGGGTCTGCTGAATGGCCTGGGGGAAGCTAAGGGCTGCATGGCCAATTGAAATGGGGCAGGAGCCAAGCTCAAGGGACAAAGTATTTCCTAATTTAGTAAAACTAAGTCCAGCTTCTGGGTGAAGCTAGACTCACACCTCTGTGGGTTGGTTGTGGGTGAGATATTCTTAGAGATAAAGGGGACGACAGGATTTAGTCTGCATTCAGACTCCAGGGTCTTGCAGCTGACAAGGAAGGAGGATAGAAAATGGCCAAAGCTGGGCAGCAGCAAGAGTGGAAGACAGAAAAGCGACGAGTGAGAAAAACTCTGACCCAGCCTCAGCATAACAAACCCAGAGGGACCCCTTTTCCCACTGGGCCCCAACCCAGTCAACTCCCAGTGCTGGCCTTGAAGGGGCAGTCAGCCTGTGAAAGGAGGTGCTTGTACTAGTGTGCCTCAGCAGCCCACCTTCTTCATGGGCACAGGGACACAACCTATTCCTGAGCTCCCACTCTGCTTCGCAATTGCCTACTGCATGTCACCTCCTGGCTGTCTCTGAGGCACCTCAAGTCAGCGTTCCAACACTGAACATGTACCCTTCCCCAAACATGCTTCCCTTCCTGCCTCCCTTTTTTTTTTTTTTTTTAAGATTTTATTTATTTATTTGACAGAGAAAGAGCACAGCAGGGGGAGCGGCAGACAGAGGGAGAGGGAGAAGCAGACTTCCCTACTGAGCAGGCAGCCTGGTGCAGGACTCCATCCCAGGACCCTGGGATTATGACCTGAGCAGAAGGCAGATGCTTAACCAACTGAGCCAGCCAGGCACCCCTTTTCTTTCCTTTCTCTTACTCAGTATTTCATGAAAGTCTACTATGTGCCAGGCATTGTTCCAGGTGTCAGAAAACAAAGCTGGGAGGAAGGCCCATATATCCCTGCTCTCTTGAATGTCTGTTGTAGTGGCAGAAACAGACCAAAAACAGGTAAATAAAAGCATAAATGATCATTTCAGGTAGTGATAAGCGTTCTGGAAAAAAAAAAAAAGATAAAATAAAGCAACAGAACTACGTTAGAGAGATTGGTTAAGGAAGACCCCCCTGAGGAGTGTGTGTCTGAACTGTGACTTGGAAGAAGAGAATGAGCCACTTGTACATCTCTGGAAAAAGAGTCCTCCAAGTGTTTCAAAGACCCTGAAGTGAGAATGTGCTGGCCATTGTGTCTACAGCATGGTAAGCAAGAGAGAGGCAGGGCATGATGTGGAAAGCCTTGGTTGAAGGCATGGCCGCCCACCCAACTGTACAGGCTAGACACCCTGCAGTCATCTTCACCTCAACCACTTTCTCTCACCTCCGCCCCCCTATTGAAAGTGTTCAAGAATACTTCCCTCTTCACCAGTCCCTTTGCCCCTGGCCTGGTTCAGTCTCTCACTGATTGTCTCCTGGGCTTCATCCAGTTTTCCCCTTCCTCCAAGCCCCTCTGTCCCCTCAATTTATCATCCCCACTGGCCCCCACTTGTTTCTCCATAGATTCCCAGGGGTCAATAATTTCAACTACTTTGTCATCATGCTCTCCCCCCTTACTCCTTGCCTTCCCAGTAAAACCAGGCAGCCAATGGCCAAACAAGAATTCACGGGCCCAGTCTTTGCCTCTGCAGGAGTGTATGCTGTGGGATGGTGGAGACAAGGCCCACAAGGGGCTTGCAATCCAGCTAGACATGGGTATGAATCCAAGAGGTGCCACTTGCTTACAGGTGTTCAGTCTGAGTAAGCAGGATTGTTGGAAGGAACGAGGAGGTAAGTCAGATCAAGAGAATAGGACACATGTGACAGGTGCTAATGCCCTTCACCAACAACGCAACGCCCAGGCTCATGAGCCCCGCTGGAGAAAACCATCCAAATAGTGCAAATGAAGGGTTTCCACCCTCAGCAGGTCCCAGAAGTGCAGCCACCTCCCACTCATCCTTGTCAGCACCGGGTCCCATGTCCCTCGATGCCATTCCTAACCATTGCTCCTCTCTTCAAGCCTCTTGATCCATCTCCTACCCACCTCACCAAGGAAATAAAGGCCTCCAGACATAAAATCCATCTCTGTCTCCCTTCTTACCACTGTGCTCTTACCCCTTCCCACTTTGTAGTCCACTTTTGAACAAAGGAGTCCTTCCTCCAGCTTAATCTCTGGCCCCATTTATTTTCTGCTGGGTCCTTATTTTTTCAACTAGCCTTTCCTTACCTTGGTCTTCAACTTCTTCTCTCCACTCTTTTTCTCCCAGCCTATAAACAGTTCTTCCTACCCTAGAACACTCTCCCCTGACCCTGCCTTCCCTTCTAAGCTCTCCTGCTCTCCTTTCCGTCCAGCAGCGCCACTTGCTGTCTCCCCTTCCTCCTTACCCAATCACTTTCCAACCTGCTACAACTGGTTCAGCCCCACCTCTCTAAGGGACAGAGATTTCAAACTAGCAGCTCAAAGATAATGTTTAATTTAGCTCTCACAGAGTATAAAAGCTTTTGAAATTGTTGCAAACATAAAGAACTGTGAGATTTCATATAACAATCCAGATTTCTGACTTTTCTTAAAAATTCAGATGCTCTGGTGACCGTGCCTACATTCCTGCTTGGCAACAATCAACTAGGGCTGAGTGATGGCTGCTTTCTTCAGGTGGGCATGTACATTTTTTCTTTAAAGTCCTTTTATTTGAATATAGCTGACACACAATGTTATGGGCATATACATTTTAGTCTGCCACAGCCCCCACTGCTCCCTACTCTACCCTGCTAATCTCATTTATGTTATGCATCTGAGTTTATAACCATGCCCTGAGATCGCTTTTGTTATCTTATTCTCAAACCAGTAAGTTAATAAAACCAAGCAAACGAACAGGTCTGGCTTATCTCTTTGGGTCGTCAGTGGTGCCTGACTGCTCCCTCTGAACTGACATGGTACTCTTGGCTCTCATAACACAGTACTTTCTTGATATTTTTTTCCTCTCTTTGAGGACGCCTCAGTATCTTTCCCTGGCCCCTCTTGCCTGTCTTACTTAAATCTTCATCTTCCCCAAGATCTCTCCTTGGCTTTCTTCTCTTTTCTCTTTCTACACTCTGTACCATCTTGTGTTCTTTATGGTGTCACCTTACAGATGAGGTCACCCATGTCTCCAGACCCTGCCTGTATTGAGCATTTTCAACAGTCACCTGGATTATTCCATCTGGGAGTTCCACAGCCTTCGCAAGTCAACCTCAGTATATTCAAAACGGTTTCCTTATTCCAACACCCCAACCCTGCCCTTCTGTTTTGAATGACAGCACTGCTAGCTACCCAGCCATCCAGATAAGAAACACTGGACTTGGGGCGCCTGAGTGGCTCAGTTGGTTAAGCGTCTGCCTTCGGCTCAGGTCATGATCCCAGGGTCCTGGGATCAAGCCCCACGTCGGGCTTCCTGCTCAGTGGGGAGCCTGCTTCTCCCTCTCCCTCTGTCTGCCACTCTCTCTCTCTCTGTCAAATAAATAAATAAAATCTTTTTTAAAAAAATCAAAGAAAACAAACACTGGACTCACTCCTGAAGCCTCTTTCTCACCATTCATGTCCAATCAGACACTAACCTCTTTCCCTTGCTTACTAAATACTTTTTAGCTCTCTTTTTTTTTTTTTCCATACCCACTGCCACCATCTTAGTTCAGGTTCTCATTATTTCCTGTTCCTATCGCTGTGAGAGCCTCCTACTGCTCCTACCACCTCTGGTTGCATAATCCACCCCTACTCCCTATGTGGCAGCAAAGTGTGCTTCTAAAACATTTCAAACATGCTCACGTGACATACTCCTGAGTGTCATGGTCCTCTTTGGGCAGCACCATAAAATATTTTGCATAGGACTTAGAAATGATTTTACTAGCAGAAAATACTATTTACCTGTATATAGCTCAATCTACCTCATTTATTTAGATGAATTTTATTTCTGAATTTTTCTGTTACTTTAAACATAGTCTTTTCATTGGGTTATTGATTGCTGACACTTGCTAGCAGACACCAAAGGTAAGGAAATTTTATAGAAGAAAAACTAACAATTGAACAAATAACCGTATTTTTTTTTTCTTTAGATTGGGAGAAGACTAGGACTCTGATTCTGAGAGGACACACCAATTCTCCATGGAATCAGAGCTCAAGAACGACTCTTTTAAAATGTAGATTTGATTATGTTACTCTCCAGGTGAAAAACCCTTAATAGGCTCTGTATTATGTAGAGCCTAGGTTCTATGACATGGCTCAAAACATCCCTTGTGATCTGGCCCTCACCTGCCTTTTTAGGTTCTACCGTGGTCCTCAGCCAGATGCCCTGGAAGCCAGTCACCCTTAACCCCAGATACCCTTGACCCTAGCCACCCCAGGCCCCAGCCACTCCCAGTGCCAGATACCTTTGAGCCCAGCCATCCCTGACCCCAGACACCCCAGACCCCAGTACCCCCAGTCACAGATAGCCTGGACCCCAGCCAGTTCTCTGAAGAGGGAGGCACCTCACTCCTTGGATCCTAGTGCCTACTGCTCCCTAAGTTTGGAGTTCCCCATCCCTTCAAAGCCAGACAAGAAGACAAAGAGACGGAAGAATCATGGAGAGCTGAGACAGGGCAGACAGCAGGATGCCTGAAGCAGCCCTGTCCGGGGCATTACCTGCTCCCTGGAATAGCTGAGCGCTGGGGTCTCCAGCTGTTGGCACCGCCTCGGGCCCCAGCCTGTTTGTGCTGCCGCCCCGGCCACTGCTTCCAAACGTCCTCTTGCCCACCGGGTCACAACAAACTCGCTTCTGTTTCCAGTTACGCACCACGGGAGGCGTGGGAGAGAAGAGGGAGAGGGAGACCGAGACAGAGAGAGAGACAGAGACAGAGACAGGGGAGGAAGGTGGGAAAGCCTGGGGAGGTGGCGAGAGCGGGCGGTAAGCGGGAGAGAAGAGCGATGTAGGAAGTGTGAGAGAGACTGTGTGTAAGACAGCAAGACCGTACTGAGGGTGAATGAAAGA